CCCGCCTCCGGCTTTTGGCGCTATGTTAAGTTGTGGACTAACTCAGTTGCTCAAAGCGAATCGACCTTTTGGCCTTTCGGCTTTCCCATTTTGGCACCCATATTTAGTCATGGCCCCAAAAGGTGATCACCTTTTAGTTCCAGGTCCTTTGGGCTGAGCTAAGCTTTGTAGCTGCGGTTGAGGGCCATTGCCGAAGGCAACGTCACCTTCCTCGGGCGCGGGACCCGCAAAGCGGTGTCGTTCCCACAGGCCGGAGGGAAGGAGAGAGGTTTTAGGTCCGTGTTAGGTTAAGCCGACGGTTGAACACCAGGTCTCTTACCGTAAAGGTTCTGGAAGACCAGTCAAGTTTGTGAAATGTGGCAGTGGTACAACTCGGATGCCCATTTGAAAGCGTAGGCGTAGGTCCATAGCACTGCTTATTACCCGAGTCGGCTCTATGATCTGCCACAAGCAACTGGAAATCATCGCCTACTGGAAAAGAAAACCGGCTGTTGGCGCAGGAAACAAGATCTGAAGTTCATGTATTTCTGATGTCCTAGGTACCTAGAGATTTGCTTGGTTTTTGGACAGCGCCTCATGGATTTGAAAAAAAACAAGCTAGGCTTTGAACCAGCAGCAGCTTGCCTTGACGTCTTGAGGCAGGGCATGAGTAGTTCAAAAGCAACAAAGGGTCTGATTTGCCAAGAATGGCGTCACGGAGAGACCTGCGGTAGCTGTTGGTTTTTGCTTGGATGACTTGAGCTGATTTTCTGCTATTCGCCACCGGCACTCCAAGCGCGGGAAACCCAAGCCAATGCGAGAGTAGCAGATCCCTTGGGAAAATGTCCCAAAAAGACACCCCGGGTGTCTATTGTGCCTCAAAAAGATGGATGAGCAAAAAGAATGGGGGATCAAGGCCTCCAAAGGCGACTTGGCCAGGTGATTTGGCCATTTGAAAACGCAGATGCGCATTGGTTTCCCCGTTGTGAGGGGAAGCCTTGCTGGGGAACCCCATGGACGCTGTTCTTGAGCGAATTACAAAGGGAAAGTGTTTTGTTAAATGAGGCTCGCTTGTTTTGAAAGGTGGCCTAAATAGGCGGCTGCAGGGATAGCTTTCTTGCGAGAAGCGAAGCTTGCAAGATTGCCTTTCACTGCATGGCTGGAGCATTTGGGCCTTTGTAGTTGTTTGATGGTCGTTCAAGAGGACTATTGTTGTTGTCCCCTTTAAAGCCCCTTGAAAATGGAACGTGGGCGTTGCAGTCCAAAATGGGGCCCTTTACATGTTGAATAAGTTTAAATAAATACCTCCGCGTGTGAGCAGAGGTCGTGTGCAAATTGACGAATTTAAGGATCTGCACTTGGCTACTTTGCAACCATAGAATTGTGAGCTGTTCGGGTTCGGCACTGCAAAGTAGCCTTGTTACTTTGCAACAATATTACACCTGAGTAGGGTATATCTCTGCTTGTACTTGGGATGAGTGGGGTCAGTTGCGTTGCAAGAAGGGTTATCCACTTACTAAGGTGGTTGAACACCTATCTAGTGGGGGTGCCCGTCAAACGTTCAGTCGTTTAGTCGTGTAGTCGGAGTTGGGCATGGGAAAGGCCTAAGCTCAGCACCCCCTGAGAATGACAAGAACACATATTGGGTGTGTCTTTTTTAGGAGACCCCCAAAATGATGGTGTTCCTGTTGTTGGTTTCCTTGTAACACCATCCAACAAGGGTACCAACTCAAAAAGACGAGCCACCCATATGAAAACACAAGTGGACTCAAATTTGCCCGCTCCCGGGATAACAACTGCCCAAAATTGCGCACTCCACCGTCACAGATCCTGTTTTAGTGGACGGGGTCTATATTTGCGCACCCCAGTATAAAATCCAGTTCCAACAGGAATTGCATCATTTTTAAGTCTTCTTTTCGGGCCGTGCAGGCATGCGTGACGATTGGTGGCACGCTGTCCGTGTTTGGAAGCCTGGTGATCGGGAATTGCTTCAACAACGGCTTTGGAGACAAAGCGCACGGTGGTTGCCTCAATGCCAACGACCTGGTCATGGAGGACCCAGTTTTTCCTTCGGACGGAAAATAATGCCCAAGCTCAATCTGGGCTCCGGAGAGTGTCACCCACTGCTTCGCAAGGAAGCCCTGGTGAGTGCTTCTGAAAATGGGATTCGGATCCCCTTGGTACTTAGAGAAAACCAAAAGGACATCCGACCTTTTGGTTGGTATTTAAAGGGAAATCAAAAGGAAGCCCACCATTATGTGTGGTATCTCGGAAAACAAAGGGACACCATAGGAAAGGTTCCGATTTATGAGCAACCGATGTGGACACCGGACATATGCATGTAGAGAGGTCTCCGGCAGGAAATCTTCCAAGCGGATCACTGGAAACAAAGACATGCTGGACAATCTACGTCGGCCTTTACGGTTTTCGAGCTGACCTTTGGATCCCTGAAAGTTTTGTCCCTCAGGCACTGAGAATCGAATGGCATCTTGACTTATTCACGCCTGCGAGAGTGCAGTCCCAAAAGCTTGCAGCACAGTGTGGTGGCGTGTGCCTAAGCCTGATAATCAGGGGACCTGTTTAGCGGGTTCTAACAAACGGGTTCCGATCGCTTGCGGAGGGCAATTTGGTTTCCGCATTTCGGAGCCTAATCTTCCGTTTGCTTAAGAATGTCTGTTTGGTTCCTTTGGTTTTAAGGTTTCACTACCGGACATATATTCTCATATTTTCCGGGCGGAAAAGCAAATGGAACCTAATGTTTGTTACAATGGGGTCACCCAGATATGGCAAAACCACGATCCCAGCGGCGCAGAGAAAGTTCGAGCGCCTCGAGAGAAAGCCGCCCAAAAGAACAACGCAAAAGGCGGCATATCCTGCCGAAAGGAGCTCTAAAGAGTGTATGCCTCCGGCTCAGACCGCCGACATGACAGGCCTGCTTTCTTATGCGTGTCGATTTTGCCCTTTGGAATTATTCCATTGGAAGTTTTCCTTTGCAATTGTCCCATCGGAATTTTCCCTTTGGAATTCCCCTTTGGAAGTCTCCCGTGTGCGTTCCATTTTCATATGTACACGGGTACCACATGTACCAAGCAGGCGGGTTTCAGTCAGGAGGGCCTAGTCCACTTGGAGAACTGCACGACAGCTGGGCGCGGAGGTGGGGATGGAGGTGGGGCGTCCTTAGGCACTTTGCACCAGAGGCGGGGGACGGAGACCCGTCGGGCTGCGGCGCTTGGGCTGGACACGATATTACTATTATTGCGTATTATTATTATCATCATCATTTTTGTTATTATTATTTTATTCATTACTGTTATTATTATTATTAATATTGTTTCTTATATTTGTTTTGCCATTCTTGTAATTTGCGGCACGAGATGTTCCCATCGGGTACTTTGGCTTGCGGTTTCGCGCCTCGAGTGCTTTGAGTCCTTCGGATCCCAAGTGGGCCGCGCCGCAAATTGTTTTTCCAACCCGTCTGCCAAGGATCCCTGTGCAAGCCGACAGATAACCCCCACACCCTGGGTATTCGGCAGAAATCCGCCAATGGAGGGGACCAGGCCAGATTTTAGGGTTCCCTCCAACAAGGGAAACACAGATTGGAGTGTGGTGAGTGTTGAGTGGACGATCGGACTGGCGTTCAACTTCCCCCCCCCCCCCGCGATCGGACTGGCGTTCAACTTCCCCCCCCCCCCCCGAAAGAAAACACAGCAACGGCTCGAATCGATTCCTGGGTTCCGGACCGGACCGCCGGAGGAGCGGAGCGATGAGCTTCTTGAACTGCCTAGCAGTGGACGGCGGAGGCGGGTGTGAATCTGCGTGTCGTCTTCTCGCTTGAGTTCCTGACCAGTTTAGTTGCAACTTTGGATCCTTTTGGCCGTCCGCTGGATCGGAAGTGCATATCTGTTTTTGCGTCCCTGTTTCATGAGTCTTGTGGCTGTTTTTGGATTTTGGGTTTGTTGTAGACAAGCCCAGTGTGGGCAGTCCTTGGGCGGCTAAGTGCTGGGAGACATTCCCACCCAGTGCGGCCTCCCTCCCCCGGTTCTTCGCATTTGGGTCGACCAGGTTTTGATTCTGACACCAAGGCCTGAACGCCAGCTCTGTGGTCGTCGAGGCGCAAAACTGCGCTTAGCTGTGCCTTTGTTTGAAGTTGCTTGCGCGTTGAAAGCTGGTTTTGACCCAGGAGTCAAAGTGAAATCACTCATTTTGCGAGGTTCCCTACGTTACTCTTGTCTGAGCTTCAAGCGGAGTGTCTGTTTCCCTGGGTTTTTGATGGGTTCCTGAAAAGATTCGGATCCCTGGAAAGAATGGAAATGGAAGGTAGCCCTGGAACAAATGCACTCGCCACTTTGAACGTCCGCAGGGCGGGTCCCTGAACTTCGAGTGGGGCATGGCGGAGCGCCGCGGCGGCTGCGCCCACGTGGACACTCTGCACCAGAGGCGGGCGCTTGCCGTGTCTTGCCAGACCCTTTGGTCACCTGGGACAACCCATGAACTTAGGGAGTGAGAAGCACGCCAGGTATGTCAAAGCGAAACAACACCCGAAACGACCCAGGAAAAGGGAAAGTCCGAGTGAAAGCCAAGATGAACTCTTTTTCCCACAGCTTCCTCTTGAGCCGCAAGTCGTGGGTCGAAAATGCTAACCACTTGGGGCATGGGGGTCCCTCAAAGACATATTGTATGTACAATTGAATATATGTATATATATATATATAGATATAGAGAGATTGCTTGTTTTGTTTTTTTTCTCCCAGGAGGGGTTTGAATCTTTTAGAAGATGAAGATACGGGGTCTCAAAGCGGGCCTCCGCATGTGCGCACCAGACAAAATTACGGGCAACTGTTCCAGCGATCGGATGGGCGCAAAAGGTGAAAGGTACGGTGAATGGGTTTTCAAGAAGGCCAAGTCTTTTCCTGACGTTTTTGGAAAAGGCTGAAAGGCTACCTCTGCTTGGCCTGAGTTGGGAGCCCACCTTCCATGGAAGGTGCATGACATCATGCTGCCATGCTTTTGACCCTCCTTGCGGTTGGGATAGCCATGATCTGCTTTGACCTACCTTGGGATTGGGATGGCCATCAACGTTAGACCACTAACGCGTTTGAACCAAGGTGAAAAGCTTCCCCCAAAACACGCATCCACCAATGTGGATGACCCTTTAGGAAACAAATGGCATCTGTTATGGCTAGGTTCGTGGGTACAAAAGGCTACTTCGGATCCAAGTCTCATGCCAGAAATTATAAGCATGATTATAAGGGGATCAATCCGGCTATCCCGTAAAGAGCCATGGATATCGCCTACTTGTCTCCCATAGGTTGGATTTGCATCAAGAACTCAGGCGTGCATTTTTGAAGGTATGGATGCCTTGCTAGCCTATGCCGGTGGTAGACTAGGTCCCCCAGTAGTGCCCTTTTACCCTTTTTCAGGGAAGGGTTCCCCTACTAAGATAGACTAAACTAAAGACACATCGGGTACCCTTTTTCTAACCTCTCAAATCTGGAGGACCTAGTAGAGCCAGATCCGTTTCTCCAAGTGAAATGTCCCGCCGCTTGCCAGGGGCGGGGAGGTGAGCTTTATCCACTGCGGAGCGGAACGCGGACATGGTGGAGGCCGGACGTGCTTCACAGCTTGAGCGGAGTCAGGGTCTCAGTCCTTTAAAACCGAACTGTTGGATTTTTGAGAGAATGCTTGGAAGGCTGCGGGGGCTAGAAAAATCAAACTATGTTTTGGAAGCGACAGCAGAGTAGCAGTGTAAAGCCATACTTACAACTATTCAAAGCCTGTTTCGGTAGTCAACCCCGTAGCTAGATCAACAATATTGGTCATAAGGGGACCCGTCCTTTGGACTGATGCCTTGGCGAAGCACTCTAGGAACGGATACAGGGCTGAGTGGTTGCGCGTGAGCCAGTGCGCTTCTCATTTGGCAGGTGTGGATGCAGGGTTGCGTGAGTGCTCGCAAGCGGGCTCGCTCACCATTTGGCAATGCGCGTTTTGCGGCAATGCGCGTTGTGGCGGCAACGTGCTAAAGGGGAGTACGCGCTAAAAGACACGCGTGGTTAGGTAAACGGAGCCCGCCCTAGGTATGCTATAGTTAGAATGACTGTTCTACCCGCTTGGGTTGAACATCCACAGGATCTAAAGGATAAGACAAGTTGGTTTGCGGGGTGTTTTTTTCAAGTTGCTTCCCTTCTTGGTGTGGTTTCAAAAGGACGAGGAAGCCGCGACCGCTTGCCACACCTTTGCACTTAGGCCTCGCTGCCCGGATTGTGACGCAGGATCACGGCGCCATGCGCTTTGGCGACAGCTGGTCGCATAGCGCTGGAGGCAGCTTGGCAGGTAGCCCCTGCCTGGTTGACTTCGATTGGTGGAGCCCTGGTTTGTGTAGACAAAGCTGCCCTTTGAGAATGCCGGGCGCCCGGTAGCTTTGGGAGGTTCCTTTATTTCTGTTTTTTTGGATGGGGTTCCCTTGAAAATCCAGGTAATCAAATACCTCAAAAAGGTTCCCGCTGGATTCCCACGGCCTTGCAGGGAGGTTACTTCCAGGTTAAATCGAACGCTTTTCACCGGGAGTGCTCTTCGTTTTCTTTCTTTGGGGCAACAGCTGAGGTAAGCGTGGTATAATTTTTCCTGTCAACATTGTCTAGGTCCCCCAGCTAGGTGCCTTTTACCATTTCTTTTTTGAGGGGAGGGTTCCCCTACTAAAATATAGACTTCCTGAAAAAAGTTCGTACCCTTATTCTAACCCCTCTACTGGAGGACCTAGTTTTAGAACGAGCGACAGGCCTCCCAACGCGCAAAGCCCTTCGCGCGGCTCAGGCTGCGCGCATGCCGAGAGAATCACCACGAGCGGGACCCTTTCCTTTGAGAAGTGCAGATCTTCTGGAGGCCGCCGGGGTTTCTGGTGACTCCTCTGTGACCTCTGAAAAGGAAAGTTGGTGGCAGTCTGTTTGTTTCAGGGTGTGTCTTTTGGTGGACTTAAAATAGAACCAACAGGAAACCCATCGTACAGGTGGGTCCCCCGAAGAAGGCACACACATAGGGACCCGTTCATTTTGGACAGCCGTGTGTGTGTGTTTTTTCTCTGGTTTGTTTGGACTCTGGCATCGTTTGGCTCTGCGTTGTTTCTTTTTTTTCTTCTTCCCCTTGCGGACTCCAAGGTTCAAGTTGAAAAGGTTACTTTGATGAACAGACGAGATTCTTCAAAACATGCATGGACTGCTTGTTCACAGCCTAGGCGTGCCTAGCTGGTCCAAGGGGGCAAACAAGCTCACGGGTGCACCAGCAATGAGCTCAAATCACGCACCCAGAACAGCCAAGCTACAAGCGATGAACTCAAACACTACGGGAGCCCCAGTGGGTTGCTTCCTTCCTCGCTAATTTTCGGCCAGACTGTCCCTTTAAAACCGACCATCCATGGCGACTGGGGGTCTGGGGAATTGATGTGGATGAGTAAATGCAACCAACCAAGTAAAGTGCGTGCCCTGTGTTCCTATGTCTGGGTTAGTGATGTGGTATGATGTGGATGAGTTGATTTGGCACTGGGCTGGCGCCGGGCTCTTTGTGTCAACCTCTCATTTGGCAGGTGGCGGGTGCGGCTATGCCGAACGACTTACCCAGTCGGAGTCCGGCCGGCTGACCTGCCGAGAATGCGAGGCCGAGGAGGGCGGATGCCTTCTGGATCCTTGGCTTCCATTTGCTTGCAATACAGTTTCCCCTGTTGGTACTGTGGATGGACAAAATCCGCACCACCTCAGAGACCCTGGTTTAGGATGATTCTCCTGTAAATACGAACAAACAATGGTTTTCCATGGTTTCCAAGTGGTGCAGGATCTCGTCCATCCACGGTATCACTACAAATGGAGGTTGGTCTTTGGCTTAGCCTTTACCACATTCTCCGTAAGGAATTGGGAATGACGGTATACGGATCCATCCCTTCACAAGGATGCCGGTCACATCATTCCCTCATTCCCCGACTGAGAACAAGCACGTTTGTCTGACCAGCTAGAAGAGTAGCAATTTGGCGCAGATTCCGAGGTGTGGCGCACCGTAGATGCTCGAGGTGTTTGGAAGGCGTCCTCCGTTGCTGCCAAATGGGGCAGCGTGCTGCTGATGAAGCAGAACCGCCCGCTCTTTGAACAATTAGTCGAAAACCCCAGCTGCAAGGTACAGCGCCTGGAAGTCGAGCAAGCCTCAGGCGTGGCTCTCATCATGAACCCCAGTGGATATTACTCTTTCTTCCACTTGTTTTGGGTTTCTCTTAAGGCCACAAATGAGTTGTTTGCAGCTTGTCTAGGTCCCCCAGTATTGCCCTTTTTTGGGGAGGGTTCCCCTGCTAAAACAGACTGCAGAGAAAAGTTGTTACCCTTATTCTAACCTCTGCTGGAGGACCTAGTTGTTGCTCTTTCTTCAACTTGTTTTGATGGGTTTCTCTTTAAATCAGAGGTGAGGACTTTTTGCAGCCTGTGTACGGGGGGGAGGTGTTTGCTCCTTGTTTTGTTTCTTTCTCCCTTGGTGGTCGTTTCGCACGCGTCTGAGGTACTCTCTGACTGTGGAAGAGTTGATCCTGGGCCCTTCCGACCAGCCCTTTCAGATCCAAGCGAACAACCTCTCAGTGCCGTCACCCAACTGTAGCAGCCTGGAAGACTGCACCTCCGCGACAAAACAAGTGCAAGTTTTCTGGCGCAAATCCTTGAAGCGACCAGAAGAGACGGATCCCTGGAAAGCGTTGGTGAAGACAATTTGGAGAGGTTCAATATAGGCTCCCCTTGCAAAAAGTGCAACAAGCTTGTTTGTGGGCCTTATTCTTTATACCTCTTGGTTGGCCCAAAACATGGGTTTCGTTCTTGGTGTATCCTGGA